ATGAAATTGAAATATGTTTGCTCCTTGAAAGAAAAGCTATGACAAACCCATACAGCATATTAAAAAGCAGAGGCATTACTTTGCCAACAAAGGTCTGTCTAGTCAAAGCTATGGTTTTTCCAGTAGTCATATATGGATGTGGGAGTTGGACTATAAAGAAAGCTGAGTGCCGAAGAATTGATGTTTTTGAACTGTGGTGTTGGAGAAGATTCTTGAGAGTCCCTTGAACAGCAAGGAGATCCAACCAGTCCAGCCTAAAGGAAATCAGTCCTCAATATTCATTGGAAGGACTGATGCTGAAGCTCCAGTATTTTGGCCACCTGATGTGAAGAACTAACTCATTGGAAAAATCCCTGATGCTGGGAATGACTGAGGGCAGGAGGAGGAGGTTGGATGAGGACAGAGGATGAGATGGTTGGATGGTATCACTGACACGATGGACATGAGTTTGAGCAAGCTCCAGAAGTTGCTGATGGACAGGAAAGCCTGGCGTGCTGCAGTCGATGGGGTTGCAAAGAGTCAGACGTCACTGAGTGATTGAGCTGAACTGAACTGATCAAAGCTACAAATGTAATTTTCTTTCCACTCCACAGTTCTAGGGCTTTACTTGCAAAAATGCACCAAGATATATGTACAGGACTGCTCACTGTAGTGTTTGTAGGGGCAAATAATCCAGCAGTTGGGACTGGTAAAATGAACTCTAGAATTTACATGAAATGCAATATTGTGAATGATAAAAGAATGAGGAAAATCTGTATGTGCTGTTTGGAAAAAACTATATTATTAAGCAAAAGATGAAGGGGCAGAGAGGTTTGCTTGTATGATGACTTATGTGTACTTCACTTAGATACATATTCTAGTTATGCATAAGCTTTAAAATCTACTTTAAAAATTTTTTGGCCACACCACGTGACATATGGGATTTTAATTCCCCAACAAGGGATTGGACCTATGCCTCCTGCATTGGAAGCTTGGAGTCTTAACTACTGGACCACCAGGGAAGTCCCTGCATAAGGTTTTTTAAAAAGAAGCAACGGAGTCTGACAATGGTTACCTTTGAGGTTCTGGACATGGTGAGGTGGGGTTGGAAAGGAGAATTTTCTTTTTCAGTTTATCTCTCCCACACTTAAAAAACTCTGCTTCTATTACATTTTAAAGAAATGTTAACTGGGATTATTTCAAAGTGGGCATTATTGGCTTTGTTTACTTTTTGAATTTTTCTGTATTAAAAATCCCTAATAAATGTAATAAACTAATTGATGAAGTAAAGTCATACAGGAGTGATCCTTTACTTAACCTGGAATAAACCACTTTTCTAAAGAAAAGAACACAAAATTGGTAATAGAAACACATACTTATTTATATTCAACAATGGTTGTCTCTGGGGTGGGATTAGAACCGATTTACCAAGCACTCTTTGGGTTCCTCTGTATTTCATTATTCTTCAACAATCAATACACATTACTTTTGCAATCTGAAGAAGACTGTAGTCTGCAAGTCCAATGTGACCAAGAGGAGTTTTTGGTTTTAGTCCCTGGAGGCATTTCTACCAAAAAGAAACATGAGTTGGTTCTGTTCTCCAAACCTTTAAAACCATTCTTGCTGGATCTTAGTTTCCCGACCAGGAATTGAACCCAGGCTTTTGGCAGTGAAAGCCCAAGTCCTAACCACTAGACTGCAAGGGAATTCCCTAAAACCAAACTTCTTGATGATATTTGTTTTATAGGACATCTTTTCTCAAAGGAAATGGTGTTGTTTGTGATGGAAATCTGTTGAGAAGTGAGTGATATGAACTCATACTTTAGTGTCTCCTCCTGATTTCTGGAATAACTTTGCATTTCTGCAGGAAGAGATAAAAGACAGGTGAAGTATAAACCTGAAAGTGAAAAGCGATTTTCTCAGGGTGATGAGATGAAGGCAATTAAATCCTTTTTTTTTTCCCCCAAACTTATCAGTATTTCACAATTTATTTTCTTGCAATGAACATGTATTGCCTTCTTAACTTAGAGCAACTTATAGTTTTGAATCACAAGCCACGGATGACTTGTGGTCCAAGGACTATTCTGATCTGAACCACATTAGAGGGAGAGGTGAGATCGGGGGTGTTGAGATAGCAGGGGCAGGACAGGCTATCTGTGAAGAGCTACAAGGAAAAGTCAAAAGGGCAGAGGGGACTGGAGTGAACAGAAACCACCCGGCACCTAAAGCCGCGGAGGGGAGAATGAGGCCGCCGCTGCGTGGATCTGGATTTTGTGGGGTCGTCTTTTAGTTTTCGATTACCACAATCATGCTGCAATGAACTGTCCGAAGCTCAGGGGTATGTAGCAAGTTTGTGAGTCAGCGGTTTAGTCTGGGTGGTCTTTCTGGCCTCAGCTGGGCTCCCTGGTGTGTCTGGGAGTCAGCGGGCTGTTGGCCAGAGCAGCGTGGCTCTTGATCCGCGTGTCAGCCTGGTGCATTCTCAAGGAGGAAGTAGAGGAACACGAGAACAGAGGAAATGCTGGAGGCCGCCGCGGGCTGGGCTTGGGAAATGGCGCACCATCGCTTCTGCTGCATTTTCTTGGGCAAAGTAAGTCCCGAGTTTGATCCAGACTCAAAGAGAGGGGAGGAGTCTCTTCCTTTTGTGAGAAGAGCTCTGGGGTCAAGGGGTAGAGACCCGGGGTAGGACCATTTATCCCAGGCCTGAAGTTCGTACAACGTTGGAGGCCCTTTTTAAAAGGATCCTGGGACTTCCTGCTGGTCTGGTGGCTAAGGATCTGCGCTCCCAACCCAGGGGCCCAGGGCTCGATCCCAGGTCAGGGAACTAGATCCCCCATGCCTGCCGTAACTAAACATCTCAGGTGCAGCAACTAAGACCCAGCACAGACAAGTAAATAAATAAAAAGGGAAAAAGAATCCTGAAATATGAATACAGAATTTGATATAGGGGCCTGGGCAAGTGAGCGGTGCTGACATTTAAGTTCCATCAGATTCGTGGCCTCTTCCTCACTTTCACAAGGAAGTGAGAAGCTCGAAACCCCAGTGAAGGGAGCCATTGTCATGCCGGTGGCAGAGCTCAGAGGGAGACCCGTTCAGCCCAGGGCTGGCGCCTGGATTCTGGGCAGCTGTCTGCTCTGGTCCCATGATGTCTGGCTAAGCACCGTTTGCATTTGCTCCTCCACTGAGAGGCTTAGTTCCTTCAGGTCCACTTTGGTTTAGGCTTCGGTTTTGTAATTTTCCAGTGGGCCTGGCAACTGCCATCCCGTGGACCTATTCCAGAGTGGGAGAGACCCAGTGAAACTGGCCCTTTCGATACAGGGGCTCCTCCCCCTGCCTGCGTGCTGTCGCTTCAGTCGTGTCCGACTGTCTGCGACCCATGGGCTGCAGCCCGCCAGGCTCCTCTGTCCGTAGGATTCTCCAGGCAAGAACACTGCAGTGGGTTGCCGTGCCCGTCTCCAGGGGATCTTCCTGACCCAGGGATCGAACCCGTATCTCTGAGGTCTCCTACATTGCAGGTGGCTTCTTTGCCACTCGTGCCACCTGGTAAAGATCCTGAAAAGACTGAGTCCAGAAAAAGACTGTAGTTTGTAAGCCAATGTGATCTAGAGAGGTAGTTGAGCAAGTTTCTGTTCTTAGTCATCAGGACAACCTGACGATTGCATCCACACACACACACACTACACACACACTGCATGCATGGACATGAATTTGAGCAAACTCTGGGAGATCGTGGAGGACAGAGGAGCCTACAGTCCGTGGGGTTGCGAAGAGTCGAACGCAGCAACTGAACAACAGCGCCTATGCACGCCTAGCACTAGCACACCCAGGACAATGCACGCGGGTAACACAGCTCCCACGCGTGGGCCCAGGTACAAACATGAACACACCACACGTGTGCCCATGCATACGTGCACACGTGACACATTCACAAACACAGGTGCTTCAGAGCAGGGGCATCGCAGAGGACCCGTCCAACCCCTTCCTTCACACATGGAGGCGTGGGAGCCCAGCGAGGTGACGGACTCATGCAGATGTCGATGGCCAAGCCAGGAGGAGAGCCTCAAATGGGTCATGGAAGACACAGGGCTCCCAGAATAGCCTGACACTCTCCTAGTCCCCAGAGGCATTTGTGTAGAGGAACAGACTCACCGGCACTTAGAGACTTTCAGAGAATTCTCTCTTTTCTTGACATGGACCACTTTTAAAGTCTTTATTGAGTTTGTTATAACTTTGTTTCTGTTTTATGGCCATGAAGTATGTGGGGTGTTAGCTCCTTGAACAGCGATTAAACCTGTACCAGCTGCATTGGAAGGTGAAGTCTTTCTTTCTTTCTTTTTAATAAACTTTACTGAGGTATAATTTATGTACAATAAAAGCCACACATTGTAGGGTATAAGTGAAAGAGTTTTAACAAATGTATATACCAATGTAATCACCACCCCAATCAAGATACAAAAAAATTGGTACCTTCCCTGCAAGTGTGGAAGATGTCTTAACCTCTGGATCACCAGGGATGTCCCCAGAGAATTCTCTTTTGTTGATTCCAAGCAGAATCTCTGTTCTTGACCCAGGAAGGCCCAGGATCAGAGGGTCAGGACACAGGCTGAAATTTGGAGCAGCTCAGAGACTGTTCACTTCTTACTGACTGTGCCCGAGAAAGGAAAGATCACCCCACACCCCTCAAAGCATGTGCCCCTTGCTTTCCAAGGTGCCCCATCTTACTTAACTCATCCGTCATTTCCCCTGGAAGCCAAATGATGTCTCCGTTTGCTGAGGCCAGATGTCTCTCAGGATAGCTATTCACGGTCACGGGCTGAGGCTGACTCTGCTGAGCAGTAGGGTAGGGACGGAGGCTGACCAAGTTTTCACTCTGTATCACTGACCTGACTTGACTGCCTGGAAGGATGTAATGTGAGAAGCCAATTCTGGCCACATCCTGGAAAACCCTTGTTTATCAGCTGCTGCATTTTCCTCTGCAAATAACCCTCCCGACACCTAGTCACTCCTGATAAGGACATGAGGGGCTCAGATCTCTCCTTGGGACTCACTCGCTCCTGAGACATCACCAGGTACGTGTGATACACCGCAAAACTGGCTCCAGGAACAAAATCCGAGAAAGGTCTGATCCTTTCCTAATTTCTGGGCTTCATCCCAGGTCTTGCTGGGATTCTGATAGGGGAAGGGGAGGGAAGGATGACAACTCTGACAACACAGATTTGTCAGAAAGGGGGTCAGACGGGGGAAACTGGGGGGGTGCATCTTTTATTTCCACTGCATGAGGTAGTTATTACAAAGTGTGTGTCGAGGGGGTGAGGTGCTGGGGTGAATAGCCATGAACAATGAGCTGGTTTCTTCAGGAAGGTATACTGACAAGTTTCTGGAGGATTCAGACTAGAATCGATATTCACGGATGCTCGCCTTGTAAGCTGGGCACAGTGATAAGAGTTTCTGGTATGTTTTCAGGACAGAGGCCCCTCTTGTCCACTGGACCAGGAGTTCCCTGATCACATATTCCTACTCTTTGAGCCCTTTTCTTTTAGTAGGTAGTCTGTTTTAATGAATTAATTTACTTATTAAATTTTTTTTTTTTGGCTGCCCCATGAGCCGTGTAGGATCTTAGTTTCCCAACCAGAGATTGAACCCTGGTCTCCTGTACCGGAACCTTGGAGTCTTAACCACTGCACCACCAGGGAAGTCCCAGTCGTCTGGGTTCTGACACTTCCTCACCCTCTCCTTCCCATCTCTGGTCTATCTTGGAATCTAGAATCTCTCCTGTGACTTTGGCCCAAGCCCCCCTGCGAATAAGTAGAAGTCCTGAGCTTCCGGGCTCCTGAGCATTCAGCTATGCCTGAAATCCCGCATGTAGGCCATTGTGTCCATCAGTCTTGGCTCTCCACAACTTCTGCCGTGGTACCAGGCTCCCCCAGCCCAATCTTCCCACCAGGGGAGAAGGACTGAGGAAAAGCCGCTCAGACCCAGCGGGTCTGCAACCTTCAAGGCTGAGAAGGAGCAGAGTTCTCCTTTTAGAGAACCCGTCGCGGCTCCGGCCAGGGAGGTATTTCTCAAAAGCGCATTCACGATCGCTTCTTGCATGGCCTTGAAATTTCACCCATCCCACCTCCTTCCGCTTTTCATCGTGTTCGCCAGTGGGAAAGGGCCGAAGGAGGAAGTGCAAGAGTGAGAGTAAGCGAAAGCAGAAGGGCTGGAAGCGCAGGAGGCTGCCGCTGGTTCTCCTTGACACGCTGCGCCCGGAGCCGTGCGAAGACAAAATGCACCTGCTGCTGCTGTTCTGCCTCTTCCTCCAGCTTTCAGGTGAGCAGGGCCCGGGTCTGTTCACCCACGGAAAGTTGATGGGGCAGGAGGAAGTGGTGGGCAGAGGAAAGAGGGGGCTCAGCAAGGCCTCCTGCTGAGGCGCCAGCTCTGTTTCTGGGTAGTTCCTCCCAGCCATGAGCCTGTGGGTTTCATCCACTCAACCCTGCGCTCAAGGTTTCAGGGTCCACACGGCCAACGCAGAAAGGTAGAGCGTGGTCTTCACAATGAAGCCAGCACCAGGCATCACTCCTGACCCCGGGGGCTGATCCTTCAGAACGGACGGACTGGGGGCCGACACTGGTGGGGGAGAAGCTGAGGCGCCCTGGTTGCTCAGGAGAGATGGGGAGTATGCACCCCTGCTCCCACCTTCCAGAAAGTGTTATGAGCACGGGAAGGCTCTGGAGAAGAGGTGAGGGTGAAGGGGACCTGGAAGGAAGGGAAGGAGGGGATTTGCCTGATGGAGTGGAAGAGCTGGTTCTAGGCTTTCGGGGAAGAAGGAAATAGAATGGAAAGGTTGAGAGAAGGTAAGCTTGGTAGGATGAGGAGGAAAGGGGGGCTAGGATATGAGCAGAGACAGAGGATTGAAGTCATCTTGAAGTTGATGGAGACCTTTTTGTTTTTTTGGCCATGCCACGTGGGATGAGGGATCTTAGTCACCCAACCAAGGATCGAACCCATGGTTAAGACTTGTTAGAAGTGCAAGTCTTAACCACTGGACTGCCAGGGAAATCCCATGGGTATCATTTTGATTAAAAGTCAAGGGGATTTTCTTGGCTTTGACAGAGCTCAGTGTCTGAGCACCTTCTCTCTCTAGAGTCAGCCTCTTGTTGATCTCACCTCCTCTCTGAGATGACTCTCATTTTTGTATCCCTAGCCTGGACATCTCTCTGAACTCAAGAATCTTCTATCCAGCTCTCCATTCGACATCTTCACTCAGATGTTGACATTTCGTTTCATTTTTTTTTTTTTTTGTCCACGCCATGAGCTGTGGGGTCTCAGTTCCTGGACCAGGGAAGGAACCTGGGTCCCCACAGAACCTCAACCACTGGACCGCCAGAGAAGTCCCAGATGTTGACATTTCAGATGTGGCCTGACCACATCTCCTCCGTCAAATTCCTTTCTCTCCCATCTTTGGGTTTGGCAACTCCGTCTTTTCAGGTGCTCAGGCAGAACCCCAGGGGCATCCATCACTTCTCTCATATCTCATAGTGACCTTTTGAAATGTAAGCCAGATCCTTTCTCTTCTCTGGTCAAAACCGTCCAATGACCTCCATCCTAGAGTACAAATCCAAAGTCCTTACAGAGGCTACCAGATGATACCATCCGGGTCTCCCTCCACACCACCTCCCGGTCTCATCTTCCACTCTGCTTCCCCTGGCTCAACCCACTCCAGCCATCCCAGCCTCTCAGATGTTCTTTGAACATGCCAGGCACACTCCGGCCACAGGCCTGAGGCCCTTGATGTTCAATCTGCTCTGTGCTCTTCTTCAGAGAGCCAAGCCTCCTGTCCTCACCTCCTTCCCGTCTTTGCTTCTCACTGAAGCCATCATTGATGACCCTAATGAAAACAGCCATTCTCTGGACTTCCCTGATGGTCCAGTGGTTAAGATTTTGCACTTCTACTGCAGGGGGCTTGTGTTTGACTCCTGGTTGGGGAAATTCCACATACCACGTGGTGTGGCCAAAAAGAAGAAGAAGAAAAAAGCAATTCCCTTGCATTACTTTTCTCCACGGTTTATCCTCTCCCTCCCAGCACTTTGATAGAATATAAACTTCAGGAGGACCAGGATTTTTGTGCTGTTCTGCAACAACTGGTGCAGTTGAGACAAATAGTGAGCAATAGTTGAATGAGTGAATGCATCTAATGGACAGGGAACAGTACAATTGCTGTAATACCCATCCCATCCCACCCACCGAATCTTTGTCCTTCAACTTGCATATAATCAAACAATTGAGGCTGTTAACATTACCTGGAGAGGACATTGCTCATGGGACTGTAAAATTGTACAGCCCCTTTAGAAAACAGCTTGACATTCTTGAGAATATTAAACATGTGGTTACCACATGAGCCAGCAATTCCACTCCTAGGTATATATCCAAGAGAATGGAAGACATATGTCCATGTAAAAAATGTGTATGCAAATGTTCATGGCAACATCGTTCATAGGAGCTAAATAGCGGAAACAGTCTAAATGCTTGTCAACTGATGGATGGATAAATTAAAACTTGGTGTACCCATACCATGGTATACTAGTCATAAAAATTAATGAGGTACTGACACGTGCTACAATCTGGATGAATCTGGAGAACATTAAGCTTGGTAAAGAATCCAAACACAACAGGGTGTATGTTGTATTATTCCATGCATATGAAATGTCTAGAAATATGTAACTTCATAGAGATAGTAGACTAGTGGTCTCCAGGGGCTGGGGAGCAGGTCGGAGGAGGGACCCCTTCAAACAGGGTCTCTCTTAGGGTGATGACTATGTTCTGGAATTGGTGGTGATGTTTGTACTGCTTCGTGAGTATCTCACAAAACCGCTGAACTGTACAACTTAAAAGGGTGAATTGCATGATGTGGGTGTTATATCTCAATAAGAAAATAATCAAAGAGCAGAGAGAAGAGTTAGGAGCAGTTATGGTCTCCTGAGGAAACTTCCTGTGGTCGCCTTTGGGTCTGAGGCTCTGGAAGGCATGGCAACCGGACAGTCCTTTGTGACCTATGACTGTTTTCCATGGTCTGCTTTGATCATTCAGTCCATCAGGCGTAGAAATGAAAAGGATACTTATAAGCAGCGATGCATGCTGCAAGCAAAGCTAAGCGCCATGCCCTGACTCAGGGGGCGGCGGGGTGCCTTTGATGGGGTGGGCTTAGAAGGAGCCCTCTGTGGGGGAGCCACCTGTGCTGAGACCTGGAGGACGAGAAGGAGCAGGTACTTCAGATCCAGGAGGTTTCTCAGGCACAGGGGACAGCGAGGCTCGCACACGGAAATGAGCTTGACCTTGGTACGGCTGAGGAACAGAAGGCCTTTGTTACAGGCCCCACGCACTCCTTCTGGGGCTGATTGGGAGGTTCTGTGCTGTGTGCTCTTTGAGACTCCATGGACTGTAGCCCACCAGGCTCCTCTGTCCAGGGAATCATCCAGGCGAGAATACTGGAGCGGGTTGCCATTTTTTCCTCCAAGGGATCTTCCTGACCCAGGGATTGAACCCACGTCCTCTGTCTCCCGCATTACAGGCTGATTCTTGACCCACTGAGCTGTTGGTGAGGAGGTTGCTTCTATCTGTTAGGGGAAAAGGTCTTAGAGGAGGAGAGAGACGTGTGGCTCGTGGGTGGCTGGAGATGGCTTGTGGATGCTCAGCCTTGAGTTTCAGTGTGGAAACGGAGGAGGTAGATCTGGGGTGAGAAGTTAGGGGACAAATTGAAAAGCAAGGTGGGGAAGGCACATAGAGGGTTTTGCTCTTCCCCCTGACCTCTGGAACAGGGGAACTTGATGGCGAGCAGATGTGAGAGTAGTGCATGTGCGTGTGTATACGGTTTGGGAGGGATTAAGACAGAGCAGGAATGTTTGTCTGAAGCAGAACAGGCACAGCTGTGTGCTGATAAGAACCTAGTCGCCAGTGTGAACCTCGGTGTCAACCTGTGACCAGCCTCGACCATAGAGCTTCCGATCACAAGCAACACATTTAACCAGCACTGCTTCCTTCTTCTCGAGAGCTCACTGTTGCAAAAGTACACAGAAAACAGCCCAGAAACTTTCCACTGGGCTTTATAGCAATTCATTTTCTGTGAGAAGCAAGACTTTTAATGACTCTCTTTTGTGGCTCAGTGGTAAAGAATCCGCCTGCCAATGCAGGAGACGCGGGTTGGATCCCTGGGTCGGGAAGATCTCCCGGAGAAGGCAATGGCAACCCACTCCAGTATTCTTGCCTGGGAAATCCCGTGGACCGAGGAGCAAAGTGGGCTACAGTCCATGGGGTTGCAAAAGAGTTGGATATGGCTTAGTGACTAAGCAACAACAAAATTTTTTTTTCAGAGACAAATTAGCTGCCTTGTCGCACTTGAGCCTCACTGTAGGTGGTGGCAGAGTGGACAAGACCCCACATGTGTTGACCCAGAGTGGAGACTAGCTGATGTCCCCTGTTGAGCTGGAGGCAGGCTCCAGTCCTGCCCGTCGCTTACTGACACTGAGTCAGTCACCTTGCCGCTGCGGCTTGGTTTCCACCTGATCTAGGATTACTCTCCATCATCCAGGCTGTGAGGAGCCATGCCCCATGAAGATGCTGCTTCTTGGAGCTCCGGGCTGCCTCTGGGGGCAGGACGGTTCCCCAAAGCAGAGCCAGAGCTCTGCCAAGGTTGATGAGGAGTGGGCACACCGAAGAGGGGTCCGAGAAAGGAGTGGATAGATGGTTCAAGGGTCAGTGCGGGCCTGCTCAGTCCCTCAATCGTGTCTGACTCTCTGGGACCCCCACGGACTGTAGCCCACCAGGCTCCTCTGTCCATGGACTTCTCCAGGGCTAGGATACTGGAGCAGGTTGCCATTTCCTACTCCAGAGGATCTTCCTGACCCAGGGATTGAACCCACGTCTCCTGCATTGGCAGGTGGGTTCTTTACCACTGCCCTACCAAGGAAGCCCAAAATTAAATGCTCTTTAAGCCATTGGAGTCGTGGCAACTAAAGATGAGGTGGCTGTCTATGTTAGAATCCTAGGGCTCTGGGACAAATGACCACAAACTTAGGGGCTTAGAAGGACACAAATTTATAATATCACAGTCTAGAGATCAGAAGTCTGGAACGAGTCAGCAGGACGACATTTCTCCTGGCGGCTCTAGGGGGAGAATTCAACCCTTTGACTCTTCTAACTTCCCGAGGCTGCCCGATCTCCGTGGGATGTGGCCCCGCATGCCCGCAGCGCCTGCTCCAGTCCTTTCCCCTTCTCTGACCCTGACTCTCCTGCCTCCCTCTGATAAGGACTTTCCTTAATTCAGTCACACCTGC